AAACATTTGATAACCTCTCATATCCTGGTGGGTGTGTGTGCGGGGACCGTTTAAAATACCTCCAAGATCAGTTCAAAGAATGTATTATGGGCATACTGATTGTTTTGCTGGAAGAATTGTGGGGCGATGGGGTGCCGGTGGGGACATATTCGGAAAGTGTCGGCCAAATCTTTGATCTTATACTTACTGCCAGACTTGCGCCACAGATCGGACGCCCCCGTCCAATGGCGGATTGCGTTTATATTCGTTTAAACTCGTGAGAGGGGCGAGAAACGTGACTATGACTAGATGGACATTTTGAAATGGCCACGCGAGTGATGGTTGCGTATATTATAACTTCTCTCAGGGCACTGTGCAAGTTACAGTTCTTGATTCGTGAAGACAAAATATGAAGCAGATATTTTGAAGATACGAGGCATCAAAAGACTTTTTAAGGGTGCATGCTTCTGTTAAATTATAGTGTGTGAGGATTGATATCAAAACAGGAGATTGATGAATTTACAAATTGAGTGCTGCCTAATATTTTGCACATTTCCTCAATCTAGATAAGTAATTTCCATTGCATTCTGTTCGTGAAAAATACATTACAGGCGGCAATTTAAAATTAAACTCAACACTGAATTCGTGCACTTCCTTCCTATTATGTTGAGTAAGTGTGATAGTGCAAGTCGACTCAAGATGGCGATATAGACCAATCTTGAAATTACGAGTCTTTCTCTCTTGTGGAAGGGCGTTTGGCCGCACAAGCATTTGGGCTGGAGGGAGGATAACATCAGATTGTCGTTCCTGTAAAGTGTACAATTATATTTTGGACCTCTGTGTTGTATATATCTCATGTCCACGTCTTTTGAACGGATGATGGCGTCGAAGTGCACCCGGTTTCAGGCGCACACATTTTATTTCCTTTTCCTTTTGTTTCATTCCTCACACGGAGACGTGAGCTTTTCCTTTCCCGAGGAGATGCAACGAGGATCGGTGATTGGGAATTTAGCCAAGGATCTCGGATTGGAGGCGAGCGCGCTGTCCGGTAGAAAAGCCCGCATCAACGCCGACGGGAGCGGAAAACGTTACTGTGATCTAAACGCGAGAAGCGGAGAGCTGATTGTGGCCGACAGGATTGACAGAGAGGGGCTTTGTGGTGACAAGGCTTCGTGCGTCCTGAAACATGAGGTTGTGCTGCAGAATCCACTCGAACTTCATCGAATGAATCTGCACATTCAAGATATAAATGATAACGCCCCTCTGTTTCAGGATGACTTAATTGATTTGGAGATAAGCGAGTCAGCCGACAAAGGGGCTCGTTTTGTGATAGAGGAGGCCCACGATGCGGATGTAGGACAAAATTCAGTTCAGCAGTACTTGCTCAAGAAAAATGACAATTTCGTTTTGTCTGTCAGTGGTAACACAGTAGAGCTCGTTCTTGACAAAGAACTTGACCGTGAACAAAAGCAAGACATTAATTTGCTTCTCACAGCTTTCAAATATATTCAGCATTGATCGTAAAGTGGGCACAATTGCTGTAATTGGCACTGTTGACTATGAATCTAGCACATCATATGAATTACGTGTGAAAGCCAAAGATGGGCTCGGGCTATCCTCTTATGCACAGGTGATTTTTTCCATCACTGACATGAATGACAACGCCCCTGTGATCAATTTAAAATCTCTGTCTAATTCAGTTGCAGAGAATGTGTCACCTGGTACAGAGGTGGGCCTCATTAATGTGCAGGACAGAGACTCTGAAAAGAATGGAAAAGTGCGCTGCTCCATTGAACAAAACGTCCCCTTTAAGTTAGTTCCTTCTATTAAAAACTATTATTCTCTGGTGACGACGGAACAACTTGACCGTGAACTTGTGTCTGATTACAACATTACAATCAGTGCCACTGACAAGGGCTCCCCTCCTTTGTCCTCCTCGAAAAGTGTTCACTTGTCTGTAGCGGACATCAACGACAACCCACCTGTGTTTGAGGAACAGTCCTACAGCGCATATGTGAGTGAAAATAACAAAGCTGGCTCCACTTTATGCTCTGTAAGTGCCCGAGACCCCGACTGGAGACAGAACGGCACCGTAATTTATTCTCTGTTACCTTCTGAGGTGAACGGTGCCTCTGTGTCCTCATTTGTGTCTGTTAACGGAGACACGGGGGTGATCCACGCTGTCAGGTCGTTTGACTACGAACACTTGAGGAGTTTTCAAGTCCACGTTATGGCCCGAGACAACGGTTCTCCTCCACTGAGCAGAGTCCACGTCATGGCCCGAGACAACGGTTCTCCTCCGCTGAGCAGCAATGTGACCATCAACGTTTTCATATCGGACATGAATGACAACTCTCCTCAGATTTTGTACCCCGCCCCGGATGGCAACTCCTTCATGACCGAGCTGGTCCCCAAAGCTGCACATGGAGGCTCTGTGGTGTCCAAAGTGATCGCGGTGGACGCCGACTCGGGACAGAACGCCTGGCTGTCCTATCATATTGTCAAGTCCACAGACTCGGGACTCTTCACCATTGGTCTTCACAGTGGAGAGATCAGGACCCAGCGGGACATTTTGGAGTCTGA